TGTGTGTGTGTGTGTGTGTGTGTGTGTGTGTGTGTGTGTGTGTGTGTGTGTGTGTGTGTGTGTGTGTGTGTGTGTGTGTCTCTGTCTCTCTGTCTCTCTCTCTCTCTCTAGTGTGGTGCAGTGTTTGTATGCTTTACATGTTCACAAAGAAGCTGGACGGGAGGGGAAAGTTGACAGGCATTGATTGTACGCCAAGCAATGGAAGAATGATCGATAACATTCACGTCGAAAGTTCGCAACACTCTGTTTGTTTGTTCGTTTTTTTCGCTTTTTGGAGCGCATTCAAGTGTCGACAAATTGCGGCACAACAGATAAAGAAACCCCTCAAATATCAAAAAGCACAAACCAAAACAAAGAGCACACACAATTGCCCATTCTCTGTGTGCGTCTCTTCTTGGAAAACCAATCCCCCCCCCAACAAAACACAGAACGAAAAAAAAAAAAAAAAAGCGAGCAGAAACGCCAACCTGGTTGTGTACCCGCCTACCCGACAGCTTCTCCACCTGTTCTGTCCTGCTCCAACAACAGTAAAAAAAAATAAAAATAAAAAAAATCTGCACACTTGTCTGACCCTTTCTGACAACTTGCATTCTGGCTGAGAGTGTTGGCGCCAAAGCTAGCCATACATTCTCTCTCCGGAGTCTCCACCTACTCTCTCTCCACTTCTCCTTCTCAACACTCTATCATCAAAATCAAAATCAGATAGGAATCTCTATACAACTCCAGCGCGGCTTCCTTCTCCCACTACCTACCACCATCTCCAATCAAACAACTGAAAGCTGCGCACAGGTTGAAGATACCCTGATCGGTGTCACAGACGCTCGCCCTCCGTAATCCTCCTCTTTTCCTTTAGACCAATCGCTAAACCCTCAGCCCTGTTCAGTCTCACTGTTCGTAAACCTCCTCTTTTTCCCTTTGTAGCCTGATCGCTAAACTCTCAGACCGATTGACCGCTGCCCACGAGTTGAAGAAAGATATTATACCCTGTTCTTCTCCCTTTCTCTCGGGACGTTTCCGATCCCACTGGCTGATGCTGCCAAAGACCTCTTAAATAAGCTCCGGTGGCAATCACCTCCACATCGCCTTGTGATCCTTGTGACAGTTGTTGAGTGAACAATGAATCTTCACCGAACGGACAACGGACTGATTCTGTCCAGTGAAAGCAAATGCGCATTTCTGTCTTCTCCTGCAGATGGGCATCCATCCGCCTGTCCGACAAAACGACAAACCTTNCTTCTCCTGCAGATGGGCATCCATCCGCCTGTCCGACAAAACGACAAACCTTTGCGTAACAGTCATTGAATGAACAATGAATCTTCACTGAACGGAGAACGGACTGATTCTGTCCGGTAAGAACAAATGCGCATTTCCGTCTTCTCCTGCAGATGGGCATCGGCCTCTCAAACAAAACGACAAACCTTCGCGTCCAAATCGTCATTATCCATGCGCACTCCGAGAGCGCGTTGAACAGCATCCATGTGCACTCCTTCCTTGCACCTTGCGCCGCAGCATCCACATCCGCGACCCTCGACTTTCCCCACACTTTCAATTCCGCACACTTGTCCTGCCAAGCACCATGGAATCTCAGCACGTATTTTCCGCAGATCCTTTTTTTGTTTATCTGATTGTATCTGGGTTCGAACTCGGGTCTGTATTTCAACAGTTCATGGCTGTACCAGCTGCTGAGATAGGCACACTGGCCGGTTGTTGTCCCGTATCTATCGACTAGAGGAAGCGCACATTGTGAAACAGACGACAAAAATAGCAGATAGCATCAATGACGCACCCTGAAACCTTTCTTTTGCCTTTTCCTATAGACATTCAACTCTACCAAACACTCAAAAAAAAAAAAAAAAAAGCACCAACACTGTCCTGAGACTCCTGCCCACAAGTCTACTACTAAACACTTTAAAAAATAATAATAATAAAAAAAAAAAAGCACCAGCACTTTCCTGAGCATACTGCCCATAATATGTGCAAGCTGTTCGTTCAACTCCGTTGCACATTGTTGTGACGGCTCAAATACCATTTCCATTTTTTCCCATGCTCCAACAAAGGCTATCCCCAACCTGAAAACCCGCGGCCCACAAACCGAACGGTACACAAACTGCTGCACAAGCTGTCTGATTGCATCTGGATAAGGACTCGGGTCTGTGCTTCAACAGTTCATGGGTGTACCAGCTGAGCTACCGTCTTCACCCGAATAGAACGCCCGGTCATTATCGCTGTGTATTTGGCACAACTTTCGGTACAGATGCAGCGATAATGACCGGGTGTTCTATTCGGGTGAAGACAGTAGGCCTGAGAACCCTCACCATATAACAATTCCAAATACCATACCCACACCTGATAAAGCTTAACCCAACTCCGATAAATCCTACCCCAACTCGGATCAACCCTAACCACAACCCCGATAAATCCTAACCCAACTTTGATGAATCCTAACTACAAACCGCATGGTACATCACCATATGACAACTGCAAATAGCATGCCCACACTTCGACAAAAGCTAAACCCCAAAACCTGATCAATCCTAGCCACAGACTGATGGACAAGCTGTTTGCTCGACCCCGTCGAGCATCATCTTAGGCCCCCAATCCAACCCCCTCCTCCTTTTGCATCAGACCGACCCTTTGCCCTTGGACTGGTTTTCCTGTGGATTCAAGATAGAAAGAACCGTTCAACTCACTGCTGGAACTGTCACCGACTTGTCATTAGAAGTTTCACCGACTCGCTGCAGCGGCTGCGGCGGGAACTGTCGCCGACTTGGCCATGAAACTTCCGCTGACTCGCTGCGGGAACTGTCACCGACTCGGCCGTGAAACTTCCACTGACTCGCTGTTGGAACCGTCGCCAATGCGCCGCTGGGTTGGGATGGCCGTCCGTCCAACAACAGAGCGCATTCAAAATCGGAAGCCCTGTGCTATCCTGGCTGTTCACGCAAAAAAACGGCCTTTGTGTTTAACTGCGGCTATTAACTGCACTGTTCGCAAAACTATGGTGGCCGTTAAAAAAAAAAAAACTGTGCGGTCAGAAGGAAAAACAAAACAGTGTGGCGGTGGCTTAACTACTTAAAAAAATACTGCTGCCATGCTCTGACGAAGGCTTTTTGTGCGTTCAGAAGGAAAAACAAAATGGTGTGGTGGTGGCTTAACTACTTAAAAAAAATACTGCTGCCATGCTCTGACGAAGGCGTTTTCCTCGTCCATCCCAAACCCGGGAATCCTGGGAATAAAGTGCGCAAGCTTTTCGCTCATCTCCGCACAACATCTTCCTAAATACCCGCTAAATATGTCATTCCCACCTTTCCCGCACTCCCAGACCAGGTTCAGACCGAAGACAGAATTACCACCGTTCCCAGACTGCGTGAGAAGAACAGTGCGCCCTCTCTCCAACAACACCCAAACCAACCAAACACTCGGGAGACTGGAACCCCTCATCGCTCTGCCATAAGTCCAACTGACATGGATGCTGACAGCTCAAGCAGTTCTTCTGTACAGAAAGAAATGAATGACATCAACATAAATTGTGACAGATCAAAAGCTTGAAGTTGAAGTTAAGTTGAATTGCACAGTTTCGACAAATTGGTGAAATTTCAACTTAAAAATGTATCATGGATTTTGCAGCTACAAGGAAACTACAGACAGACACACCATGAATGTACACATACTACTCAAAGCCACATCCTCTGCTTCATAAGTCAGCTCCACGATGGGCGGTTGGAACATGTCCCTCAACAAGCCAACACCGCCTCATATGGACAACCAACCCCGCTCTCTACGAAACACAGTCCCTCATTCCTCCCAGCTTAACAGCCCATCTACTCAACCACACCCCAAACAAACTCACTCCAGCACATTGAGATCCACGGTTACTTTCCCCCCCCTCCCCCATCCCCTCCCCTCCCCCTCATGATGGGCGGTGGGAACATGTCCCTCAACAAGGGAATTCAGATAACGGTTACTTCAACAAGGGAACATGTCCCCCAACAAGGGAACATGTCCCCCATCCCCTCACTGAGAGCCACGGTTACTTCCCCCCCCGTTCCCCATCTCCTCCCCCCCCCCCCCCCCCCCCCCCCCCCCCCCCCCCCCCCCCACCCCCCCCCCCCCCCCCCCCCAACTAACCCCCCGCTGCACGTACACACACCTTGTAGCCTGCAACTTCCATCAGTGCCGCAACAACTACTTCACCGCCCTCATACATACACACACCCCTTCTACCCCGCTACCACTACCACAGCCACAAATGACTGCTTCACCCTCCCCCCTCACATATACCCACCTTCTACCCCACTGCCAACACTGGCCAACCTCAGCTACCCCTTTTCTCAACTAATTGCAACGATGCAACCTACTCGTGACAACGCCATTCTCCCAACGACATGAATGGGGTAGGAGACTTGGGGTACGTGAAGGTGGTGAAGTAGTCGGTGTGACCCTGGCTCCATGAACGGGCTGACGATCAAGCAGAAATGACAGCACTGACACCCTTAGTGCTCTTCTGCTGCACCAGGACTCCTCTACAAGTGAGCTGGTTCTTTCCCTCTCAAGTAACCACCCACCAATCACTTCTAACGGGATCCTTGCTACAAGGTCACATCACTCCTACCCCAGGAAGAAGTGGAACCAGGGCTAGTAAAGGCACCAGTACAGTTGAACCAGGGCTAGCAATGGACCAGTACAGCGGAACCAGGGCTAGCAATGGACCAGTATAGTGGAACAAGGACTACCAATGGACCAGTACCAAACCAGGCCCAATGACACTAAGGCCATCTGATCAAACCTGGCATGCTAGCTTGCACGAGCCGGTTGCCTACAATCCAGTGCCAATGCAAATGAATGCAAGCAA